CAGTCTCCAGGCAGCGCTGAAGGGACAGAACGGCATCCACTGAAGTAGGTGAGAAGGAGATGTAGAGCTGCGTGTCATCAGCATACTGATGGCACGATGCCCCACACCCCTTGGTGACCCCACCCAGCCGCCTCATGTAGATATTAAACAGCATTGGAGAGATGATCAACCCCTGTGGAACCTCACAGTTGAGGCTCCATGGGGCCGAAACATTCTCGCCAAGCTGTACTCTCTGGGGTTGGTCCTCTAAGAAGGACTGGAGCCAGGCGAACGCCAATTCCCAGCTCAGAGAGCCTCGCCAGGAGGATACCTTGGTCGATGGTATCAAAGGCGGCTGAGATGTCAAGGAGGACCAACAAGGACATATTGCCCCCATCAGCCTCCCTCAACAGGTCATCCAACAGTGTGACCAGTGCCATTTCCGTACCATAGCACGGCCTGAACCCTGACTGAAATGGGTCCAGGGCATTGGTTTCGTCCAAAAGCGTTATAGCGCCTGGAGACCATTGCAGGAAATTATGCGGTAGCTCTGAAAAGCCACCCATCATGCACTTACCATGAAAAAAAAATAAACAAATAAATAAATCCCACTCCCTTTAGTGCCAAGGCACTACTCTGGGTGGTTACAACAAATAAAATACAAAACAAAAAAATAAGGATAAAAGCATTAAAAGCAACTATAGTTAACCATTAAAAACAGACGGCAGAAAGCAATCATATAAAACTAGAGTGGATGGAAGAAAGAGAAAGAGAGAAAGTGATCAGCTAGTTGGTTACTAAGATAATACAAAGATGAGGACAATGTATCTTCTTCAACCTTACCTATTCTTCTCTCTGGCACTACCGACTGTGTGAAGAGCTTCTTGGGACACTGCCCTATCCAATCTGCTTTCAGAAATTTTGGTGCATTCCACCCCATTTACATGGAACTACTTCCTGAAGGGACAGGGTGGTGATTCAGAAGGAGGGCAGGGATAATTTAACATCTCTTCGTCAAGTTTTCCACTATCGAACTTGGCTAGTGGGAGCTCTTCCTTCTTGTCCCTTTTATTTTGCCTTTCTTAAACTCTTTGTTTTTCTGCGGATTAACTTTTGTGTCTTTTATCACAGGAATCACCTTCCTGTCTGGTGGCCAGAGTGAGGAAGAGGCTTCCATCAACCTAAATGCCATCAACAAGTGCCCTCTGCATAAGCCATGGGCCCTGACCTTCTCCTACGGCCGTGCCCTGCAAGCTTCTGCTCTCAAGGCCTGGGGTGGCAAGAAGGAGAACCTCAAGAATGCTCAGGAGGAATACATCAAGCGTGCTTTGGTAAGTGTTGCCAAGTCTTAACCTTGGGATTTCAATCACAGTGAGGTGCTGAGTGTCATCTCCTGTGTGTTTTCATTAGTATCAATTAATTATGAAGTCAGGGGCTGCACGTACAAGGGTGCAGGAGAAAGGAGACAGAATTGGCTCCTAAAAGTCAATAATTTAAGTGAGTTTTCAGAGGAGTAAGCTTTATTGGGGCACCTTTAAAATGAACACATTTACAAAGTGTGAGCTTTTGCAGATTACAGCCCCTTCAAACACATGTACAGTATGGGGCTATGAGTTCATATACAGTGTATGGGGGATACTGGGACCAACTGTGGACACAAGGGCGGGCTGATAGGAGATACTCAGTGTCTTCAAAATCCTTTTATTTTGGACTAAATAGAATGGCTGTAGCAGATTAGAGAAACAACACAGTGGGCGCCAAAAGTTCTCGGGGTTCTGTCCATCCAGCCATCGAGGGCAGAGGAAGACAGATGGGAAAAATTATTTGCTCAGGGAAGAGGTTGTGAAATCAGTGTGCTAGAGTTGAGGAGCTGGGAATACGAATTGCTAATTTCTGCGGTGACTCCCTGTGAATCTGATAGGCCGGGGCGCATATGGTGATGAACGGAATGAGCTGTTGCTTTTCTTCTACTGACATGAAAGTAGCTTTAATTTCTCTTCATTTCTTTTATAGGCCAACAGCCTTGCCTGCCAAGGCAAATATGTTCCATCTGCCCAATCTGGAGCCGCTGCCAGCGAGTCTCTCTTTGTATCCGACCATGCTTATTAAAACCAGAAGCTTGGTTGCACTGTCTGCTCTCTTGTGTTGTTATATTGTGCCTGAGCTACTGTGGTGTTTGTAACTTGTTCCACTCCTGTTCCCATCTGCCAGCTTCTCTAGTGAGGGAAAGGTGGAAATCTTTGCCTTGCCTAGAAGGAACTCAGACATCTTGGCTTATTCCTTTCCTCTAACCCACCCTCTGTATACCTTTGTAAGAGGTGTTCAGCTTCTCATGGTGACCGACGACACTCCAGGTCCGTGCACGAAAACATCGAAATATCTCCGGAGCTGGGATACCTGACTCACGGACCTCTAGAAATAAAGATAATCTATTTAAACATTGCCAAAGGCCTCTGTTTTCTTTCTATGAAGTAGATTGGTGGCAGATAGATTTGTGGGTGATTTGCGGGTATATCAGCGAAGATTTTTGACCCCCAGTTTTTGAAGCCAATAGTATTTTTCCACAAAAAGGTTTAATTAGGGTTCAGTCTAATCCAAATATCACATGCTATCAGAACTTACCTGCAACACTCTTTGTACTAGATGGAACAAGCCTTTGCTTAGTTAATGAAACAGGAGAAGTAACCCAGCATCCTTACTTGAATCTTACTTGAAAGTACACTAGGGTTGCTTTATTCCAACAAGAACTTTGCAATGTCTTTATAGTCAGTAACCAAACTTTCCATGATACAGAGCTGTTATATCAGTAGTTTTCAAAGTTTGGCCCTACAGACCCTAAACTCCTAAAAGTGACACCCACCATGGCTAATAGCTGTTTTCATTTTTCTAAGCTAATTTTGTGAAGTTGGCAGCAATATGGCAAAAGAGAGCTTTCAACCTAGAAAATGCTTGATTAGGCTGAAGTACACATTTTGCCAAGTGATGAGAAAAGTGAACCTCTATAAGAAAACCACACATAAAACCTAACTGCATAAGATCAGAATTCCATGTCTAGAGGAATGTAGGTAACTAGCCTATCTGATTCAGATTCTTTGTTCATTTATTTCACTGTTGCCTGAAGGGATTAGTAGTACTTCCCTATGGTCTCAAATTATCTTCCTCACTCTTTATCTGCAAAGCACATGCTTCACCTGCTTTAGGGCCCATCCCATTTTGCTGTAATTCAGGGGCAAATTGCCATTCCTGCATTTTTGTCCTTTCCTTCAGGACTTTTTTCAATTCCACTTCCCCTCAAGAATGTGGCATATAAAACATTACAGTTGGAAAGCAAGGCCAGGTTAGACCTTTAAAAAATAAATAACTTTTTTTAAAATGCTAGCTTTTGGACCATACAAGTCTTCTTCAGGCTGGGCACAAGTTTGCAGCCTGTATTTTCAAACTGGCACAGACCTCTGCCATGACTTGTGGAACATACCTATACCATCCACAAAGCAGAGGTGCCCAGCCTGATGAATACTTGTATGAGTCAACACAAATGCAAAATTGGGGAGGTGGGGGAGAGCCACGTGGCCCATTTTTGATTGTATGAGTCAAAAGCTAGGTGTTTTTTTTTAATACTGTAGTCTAATGAATGTACTATTTGCTTTTGAATAGTGTAAAGACAACACGACTAGCGGTTTCTTTTTCCTGCGTTATACTTGTAAGGCTCCTGAATTACTTACTCTTCGGAGGCAGTCAACGTGTGGCTAATAATGCGGGTACTCCTGCACTCAAGCCCTCTTGTGGAGACCTGAATTTAACTTCGCCGTGCAATCTTTTAGTACAGTAACCCGCTTGAGGCCCATAGAAAGACACCCCCCCTTTGCCAACACTTGCTGTTGCTTCTACTTCCGCCCATACTTTATGTCATATCCGTGGCAACGCCCGTCTGCCTCTTTCTTTCCGGCTGTATTTTCGATCACATTTCTCCGGTTGCGTGCGGGCATCTATAAAAGATATGGCTACAACATATCATAGAATGCGGTCACATACCCTTTTATATGAGAGAAACGGGTGTGGAAAGGCGGCGACGGAACTGACGGATGGTTGCGCCATCGGAATAGTTTTCACGTTGCACATGAAGTGAACTAAAATGTGTTACATAAAAGGGCGTCCCCACGCTGCTTCCGTCCCTTCTGTTCTGGCCTTGTGTCCGCTTTTTTTAAATGTCCCCCCCGCCCCGCGGAACGACATTGCGTTTTCGCCTTTAATTAAATATATATGTATGTCATTTCCTTCGCGTCAAAGTTCCTCCCCTTCAAAGAGAGAAGGCAGTGAGGACACCCCTCCCACGCCCGTCTTCCTCCGAACAGGAAGCGGAAGTGACGTCCTGTCTCCTGTAGTGAGTAGAGAGCCGGGAAGAGAGAGAGGGGGGGAAGGGCCGGGCCCGGGAGCCGGAGGGAGCCGCGGAGCTGCCGCCACCGCCACCGTTCCCGCTACCGGGACCCCAGGTATACCGCCGAGTTCCTCACGCGCATGCGCAGGGCATCTTTTTCATGGGTGAATTTCTTGCCTCTCGTGGAGGTCCGGGTCGCCGGGGGGGTTGGTTGCTATAGAGACAGGAGTGCCATGGGGTCGAGGAAGGAAGGTGAAAGGTTGTCAGTGGGGGTCGGAGGCAGGAGAGGTCGGAGGAGCGGCTGCCCCGGCAGGGCTGGAAAGGCTGGCCAGGGAGTGGAAGAGAGCTGTGGGAAGCCTTGAGCACAAGTGGGAAGAAGAAGAAGAAAAAGAAAAAAAGGTGGGTTGGTGGAAGAGGGCTGTGGGAAGCCTTGAGCGCAAGTGGGAAGGAGAAGAAGAAAAAGAAAAAAAGGTGGGTTGCCCTGTGGATTCCAAGCAAAAGGGCAAGGCTCCTTTTGGCACAGAGGCTTTTAACCTCACGAGGATGGCTTCTCCCAAAGAAGGCTTTAGAAAGGATTACGGTCATTTTCTGTTATCTGACACAAACAGTGTGTCTTTTGTATGTCCTCTCTTACGTATTGATTTTCCTGTGGTTTTTAAGATTCAAAGGTGGTGGACTCCTTATAGAAGTCATTTATTTATTTTCTTCGGCGTCTGTGGTTGAAAGGATGTCGTGAACTCATTTTCTCCAGTAGACAGGTGGTGGTATCACACCAAAGTGGAGTGTAATGGGTGTTGTGATGGGATCTTGCCAAGATCCTGTGGGAGAAATGAAGATTTGGGTGTTGCTATGGTAATGCCGAGTTGTTCAGGTTGCATTTTTTGGCCAGACCTGATTTTTCTCTCTCTTTATAGGCCATTTCCAATTTCTTTATTACTGATTTCCAAATGTCAGGTCAATGAGATTTGATAGAGGCCTGGATTCTTGAGTGGGATGGGATGCTTCGAGTGTACTGTACCTCCATTCTAGTGCTGCTGGGTAGCCGGGGGAAAGGAAGTGCTTACTAAAAGGGTGGTCTGTTTTCTTTGTTACTGTGACACCATCTCAATGCTTTATTCTTCTCCCACTCGCCTTCAGTAAAACAGATAACAATTTGTTTCCCTAAAAGGTAAGTCTGATGGGAATAGTCTTCAAAAATATAGATCTATTGTGTGAAACAACTTAATATAGCTGATGGTGAGGGAGATGGAGATTGCGTGACTTCTGCAGGGTAACATGTTTTCAATCCTAGATGTAATGACGTTCTCCTGTTTACCATTAGCTCTACTTGTCTAGATATTCCTTTTTTCCTTTGGAATGATTGGGTAGTTAATCTTCAACAGACGATTGTAGTCTCTTTTTTCAGTGGATTTTACCTGCTTCTGAGAGGGACATTTTTGGGAGGTTCTTTCTAGCTTCCTCTTGTGCATTGTCAAAATTGCATGTCTTTATGAATTTTTATTTACCCTTAATTTTTAATTAATTGACTGCAGTTTGTACTTCTGTGCTCTGCCTTGGAATCCTTTTGATAAAAGTTACATAAGGAATGTTTTTTAATGGTTAAATTCTCTCTTTTCAGGGGGCAAGATGGCTGAAATCAGTGACCTGGACCGTCAGATTGAACAGCTGCGGCGCTGTGAACTCATCAAAGAGAGTGAGGTCAAAGCCCTTTGTGCCAAGGCCAGGTGAATGTTGGCAGACTTCTCTTAAAAACAGCAATGCTCAAACTGTGAAATGTAGGAGATTATGCAGAACAGTGACTGAATATGACACATCTCTTCCCCCCTTCTTTAACAGAGAGATCTTGGTGGAAGAAAGCAATGTCCAGAGAGTAGATTCCCCAGTAACAGTGAGTTGGGATTATGGGGGTATAGTATCTTGGGAATGGGATGATGATCACAATAGCTGCATGCCTTTTTCTTTCTCCAATCCCTGATGCAACTCTTTTTTCTAGGTCTGTGGAGATATCCATGGCCAATTCTATGATCTTAAAGAACTTTTCAGGGTGAGTACAGCACTCATATAGTTCCACACTCTTCTTGTGTTGTTTTGAAGCTCCCATAGACAAGTACCTTGCTTCCTTTTTCTTTTTGCTACAGGTGGGAGGTGATGTGCCTGAGACCAACTATCTGTTCATGGGAGACTTTGTTGACCGTGGATTCTACAGTGTCGAAACATTCTTGCTATTGCTAGCGCTCAAGGTTAGGACGCTCCCTCAGTAAATTTTAAAATCCTCTATTTTAGCTTTAGGTATAGTTGGTTCTGCTGATACAGACTCTATAAACTTCTCAGAGATGCCCTGGGTCTGATGTATTGAGCTTTAGTATCTGGCCCCACCTGGTTTGATCCATTTCTTCACATAGGTCCGCTACCCTGACCGAATCACCCTGATTCGTGGCAACCATGAAAGCAGACAGATCACTCAAGTATATGGCTTTTATGATGAATGCCTGAGGAAATATGGCTCTGTCACTGTGTGGCGCTATTGCACTGAGATCTTTGACTACCTCAGCCTCTCTGCCATTATTGATGGGAAGGTGAGTCTTTATGTGCAAGTACTTCAAATAGCACAATCAGTACATGTGATGCTTAATGAAGATGGAATGGGGATTGAGCTCACTGATGTCAACAAACTGTGAAGGCAACAGTAAGAATTTCAGAATAAGTTTATTGGAGGGAAGGAGCATGAACCTAAGAGTGCTGTTTGGCCCTAGAGTTTTGATGTTCAGCTTTCCAAGTACATGTATCTTTCTGTGTTGTAGATTTTCTGTGTCCATGGTGGATTATCCCCATCCATCCAGACGCTGGATCAGATACGAACGATAGATCGCAAACAAGAGGTTCCTCATGATGGCCCCATGTGTGATCTTCTTTGGTCTGACCCTGAAGGTATAGTTGTGAGAGTAGAGTGAGATTGGTGCATTTGTAGAGTTGTGCAACATTTCAGTATAAGATATCACGTGGATAGCTGTTCTTCTATAAAGAGTGTAATGTTAGGTTGTATTAAGGAGAGCTCACATTAGTATGAGTAGAAGGGTGTTATGTCTTAAATTCTGATTTAGAATTGTAGTAGAACCTGAATAGACACTGGCAGTTGCGTATAGGTGTCTATCAAATTTGATATGACCTTATGAATAATTAGTTCAAAAGAAAAACCACAAGAATATTACGGAGTCACAAGAATATTACGGAGTCCCCAATCCACTTCTCTGTGGTAGGTGCAGGACTGCCAACCCCCGCTCCATCCCCGCGGCAAAGCGGGGCTTTCAGAGGTGCATGTTCACTGCTGAAAAAGCCCCAGGAGGCTTCCGAAAGCGGTGCACGGGGTGGCGGGGGTGGCGGTCCTGCACCTACCACAGAGAAGTGGATTGGGGAATTTGTTAATGAAGGGCAAACAGCCGTACTACTTTTACAAATTTGATATGCAATCACTGATACAGTGGCTGAAATCCTATTGTACAACTTTATACTGCATAAGACTGACAGCATCATCAGCTGTGGCAGTTTTTCAGGAATGAAAGAAAATTCTGTTTCTCCCCCATCCCATAAAGGTTCAAAGACTTCTGTAGGATACCTTTTGTTGTGGGGAAGCCACTGTGGACCACTAGACAGAGGGAGTCTTTCATTTTTGAAAATCGCCATAGCTAATGATGTCATCAGCCTTATGCAGCGCAAAATTGCACTACAGGATTGCAGCCAGCAAGTGAAATAATAGAGTTCTAGTTTCCTGCTGAAAGAGGTCAGATATTTCTTCTTTCCCTGTTTCTCAGTTCTCATTGAAAGGAATTAGTAGTAGAAAGAGAAGTGGAATAGCTGTTTTTGGAACAGTATTGGAACAGGAAAACTTTTTACAAAAATCATACTGGTCTAACTTGTATTATGCATGTCCTTTCACTGCTGTTAAGGTTTATCTTGAATGCTTGTCAGATGTGCATATGATTTTCTCTTGGATGATATCTCGTACTTCATTCCTTTGTGTCACACAATGTGCTGTTCTGCCTTTACAGACACTACAGGCTGGGGGGTTAGCCCTCGAGGTGCTGGCTACTTATTCGGCAGTGATGTGGTGGCCCAGTTCAACGCAGCAAATGACATTGACATGATTTGTCGAGCACATCAGCTGGTCATGGAGGGGTACAAGTGGCACTTCAATGAGACAGTTCTTACCGTATGGTCGGCTCCCAACTACTGCTACCGGTGAGGAGATAGAAGGGTTATGTGTAGAAATAGCTATTTCCAACCTTGGGCTGTTTCAGCTCAAGTTGTGTTTAATACAGAAGGAATGCCAGACAACCGATAGCTTTTAGGGGGTGGTTACCCGGAAGCATGATAGAATAATTGAGACATGCTGTCCCTTTTTTTTCTCTCCTCCATGTGCAGCTGTGGGAATGTGGCAGCCATATTGGAACTGGATGAACATCTCCAGAAAGAATTTATCATCTTTGAAGCAGCTCCTCAAGAAACCCGGGGCATCCCATCTAAGAAACCGGTTGCGGACTACTTCCTGTGAATCCATCTCTCATCTCCCCCTGTGCGGCTTCTGTTTTCTATCTTGGCTGGGATGGGCAGCCTCTTTCAAGTTTTTGGCAAGGTTCAGGTCTCTTCTCCCCATGCCCGGTCTCCCTTCCCTTCCCCCACCTGCCCAATAAACCCTCAGTTCTGGACTCTTTAGACTGTATTGGGCATCTTCTTCCACCGTACTGAATCCTAGCCAGTCCCCTCACGGCTGCCCTATGTATTCTTCACCTAAAATGCTGCTTGGGAATTCTGGTCGTTGGAGGAACCTGGAACAAATTTCTCCCAAATCACTCCATGGAAAAGTAAAACAAAGCAGAAAGAGAGATTAAATCTGTAGATCTTCAGGGTTCTCTGGCTTTTGTAGCAGAATGGCTAACTACTTCCTTGCCCAGCTGTCTTCAGCATTTTCCTGTTGTTAGGAGGACTGGAAATTGTCAGTGGAGAATTAATGTGGTAGAACTGGACTTGGAAATAAGGAGACATAAGTGGCCAGAGAACATCTGAAGCTGTTAGGAGGGCAAAATCTCAAGATTAGATCTCTGCTTCTGTTTCACTGAGGTGCTTATTGGTTAAACTCTTTTCTGGTCAGTTGCTCTTAGAACTCTATGGTTTTGGTGCCATTATATAACTGTGAAGCAGCAAACAGGAAGTGGTTAGGGCCTTTCTCTTTAGGGTTGCTGGAAGATCTGAAATGCTGGTTTCTTAGCACTTCATGTTTAGTCTGCTTAAACTATATGTAATAGAGTGGTCTAGCTTAGGAAAGGGGTTCCTGTGTGCCACCAGCTTTTGATTCCGCATACCTCCTTAAAAACATTTTGGCCAATGGAGAACTAGACTGTTTCCACTTCACTATACCGGAAGGTCATAATCTTTCAAAAAGTAGTAGCCCTTCAGGTCAGTGGAGGTACAAATGTGCTGCAGAACCCACTTAAATCTGCTGGATTTATTAATTATTTTATTGGTAGTTCTGTATCCTGGTTCTCCTTCCTGCCCCTTTTCTCCTTGAGTGGGGACCATATCTTGCTAATTAATTTGACCAATGGGGCATGTACTCTGTCTTATCTCCCTCTTGATATCCTACCCCCTGTGGGGATGGTATATTCAAATCCCATCTGACTCAAAATTCCTCATCCCCTTCTGTTTATTTCTGTGAAAAGGTATTCAGTCCAAATATCTATTTAGAATTAAAAGGGGAGAGGGGACTTCCTGCCACTTTTCCTATCACCCACCCATGATCTGTCTTGCTCTAATTTTATTTTGTTTTCATTTTGATTTTTTTCCTATTTACAACTTTTAGATAAAAAATTCTAATAAAACTAAGAAAAAATTGGCACTTTGTGACTGTATATTTCTGTTTCCACACAGTATGCAATCAAGGTGTGTGTTGAGTGCTGCAGAAATGTCTGGTCTGATCTGCACAAATATGTTTCCCTCATTCATTTCCCTGTTACAACCATGACTAGTCTGGTTCTTGCAAAGGAAGGGAAAATTAGTACTATACATTTATTGTAGGGCATAGTTTCTGTCCCCTGTAGAATTACAGAAGACAGAAACTATGTCTTATAATAAATGTATAGAGTTCAAACAAAATTTATCAGTGTATTCGCAAAGGCTTTCATGGTCGGGATCTGATGGTTGTTGTGGTTTTTTTGGGCTCTTTGGCCGTGTTCTGAAGGTTGTTCTTCCTGACGTTTCGCCAGTGTCTGTGGCCGGCATCTTCAGAGGACTGGAGTAGGAACTCTGTCCATGCTCTGTTGGTGTTTGTTGGATAGTTCCCACAGCTGTAAATACTATCCAACAAACACCAACAGAGCATGGACAGAGTTCCTACTCCAGTCCTCTGAAGATGCCGGCCACAGACACTGGCGAAACGTCAGGAAGAACAACCTTCAGAACACGACCGAAGAGCCCGAAAAACCCACAACACCCAAAATTTATGAGCATCTTCATGGCCTCCAGTGATGCCACATGGAATCTGTCTTGTATGTATAACATGGTATCTAAAGTATTAATGATTATGTGGTAATGGTATTAGACTTATTTTCTAATATAGAAAATATTTTCTAATTATAGGTCTTGCTGAACCCATACATACCACTGCAAGCACTACCCATTATTGCTTCTAATCCCAAAATAATGTGTTAAATAAAAGCAAAGCAAACTGTACTGCAATTGAAAACCTTTGCCCTAAATTACTTGAAACACTCTTGATGAGATGTCTCAAACTAATTTTTAAAATAATCTCAAGTGTAACTAAATACAAACAGTTTGTTTTATTTTTTTTCCTCTAGAAGAAAAAAACCCGAAGTAGAACATTACAGTGAAAATTAAGTGCTGTAGCTTGCTTGCATTATCATAAAAGAAGACAAATGTACAATAAAAGAGAAGCCTTAAAAGGATTTAATCATAAGATAAGTAGGATACAAACATGTTTGCCACTGCCCTTCCACAAACAGACAGGAATCAAGAAAATAGAAGTCATAATGAAACATTGCAAACAAAATAGAAAAGAATACTTTTGGGTGGGGAGGGACAGGCATCCAGGTTTTGTGGGAGGAGCAGGTGTTAGAGCATAGGTGGCTGTGAGCTTGGGTAGCCAGTGGGAGGTCCATACACATGAGGAGGAGGTGGGTAGGGTGTGAAGCTGAATTTGAAAGGAGGAAAGGAGGAGGCATCTGGTGGTTCTGCATTTCCAAGGAAAGGAATAATATCCAGGCCATTCCAGCTTGTTGGGAGCATTGTTCTGAAATCTGCTTGATAAGGAGATGACTTGGCAGTGGGGGAAGATGGAGGAGCTGCTGCTTCTTGGCCTGGGCTGCAGATAGAGACATAGGTAAGTCCAATACTGTAAAAATGCAGATGGTCCCCTTTTGCATAAGTGCCTAGGTGTCCCTACTTGCTGTGTATCTGTACAACTGTCTTCTTGCAGAGACCTCTCAGATTTTCTGTGTACATCACTTTTGTGGGTTTTTCATTCATGTCATGTATTATCAATATTAAATAGGAGGCAAGACAGGTGCTAGCCAATACCCTCTCCTCCACAGGATAATCTAGAATAGGCAATAAAAAGTGCTATAATTTATTTGTGGAAGTGATCTAGCTTCATACCTAATATAGGCAGCTGAAAATTCCCAAGTTTTATTTGGACAATCATCGATCTTTTAGAAGAATGTTTTTAAATGAACAGTGTGATGGTACATAATTTGGGCTAAATCTAACTGTGAGTGCAAATTAGAGGTGACTGACTGAATCAACAGTTCACATAATTGTTGATATAAGTCCTGTTTATTCAGTGGGTTAACTCAATTTGGGGCTAACAATTGGATTTAGCCAACTATCATTATTTATACATATAATTAGAAAGGTGTTCTTTTAAAAATGCCTACTACCTGAATTATACTTTCAGGGTTGAAAAGATAATCTAGCAAGTAGCTATGCTAGTATGTTATTTTATTTTATTTATTTCAGAAATATTTAGCACCTGTAAAACTAGTTTTTATTTTCCATAAGTATTCATGTGTCTAAGCACACTGCTTCCAATGAAACTTCCAGAGATGTTTTCAGTTGTCTGTGAAAGATATAGTTGTACTTGGTTTGGTAGGAAACTTGAACAATTCTACAAATAAAGGAAATCTCACTAGTACCTCTTTATATGGCTTTATTTTGTTAATCATGATAAGGAAGTGTTTATACTGTAAGCCTGATGTCTTCATAGCTATAATATAGCTATTTATCTGTAAAATAGTTTATATTTTATAGCTAAAATAGTTTATATTTTATAAAATATAAAAGTTATATTTTAAATAAATCCTGTAAAATAATATACATGGCTTTACCCTAAGATTAGGTTCTTTAGCCATCCAAAGAAGCATAGGCCAGAATTGTATTGGAAATTTAGGCTTGTATAACGGAAAGTGCATATGTTGTATTGACAAATCACCACTCATTAATGCTGGGGTTGTGTTACCAGGATTGCAAACAGCACCTGGTTGATGACAATAATTTGTTGCTGCAACATACTCAGTTTCCGTCATGCAAGCCTAAATCACTTACAGGGTTCTGACTGTAATTTCTATCCAACTACGAACTGTTTATGTTATGGAGCTGGAAGATTTTTATTAACTAAATTGGTCAAGTTATTGACCAGTAAGGAATGTGATATGACTGGCTAGGTTTTATTGTTACTTACCTGTTGTAGGGGGATGATGCTCCTCGCAAACCGTGGAATGCAGCTGGATGCTGCACATAAGCCTCAGCGCCACTGGGATTGGTCCCTGTTGGAGGATAGAAGGAGCAGGAAGGTTGCGGAATCCCAGACGGCTGTTGTTGCTCCAGAGGCGTCTCTTCTGTCAGGGTAGAATCACAGGGACCTTTCTTGCTGTCTAGGGGAAAATGAAAGACCAGAAGGTTATAAAAGAAGGGAGACAATTACATGTGAGAAAGATATTGATACACTAAGCATTCTTAGGAGAAGCTTGGCATATACAGGTGGGACTGTTTGGTAAGAATGTAGAGCTAACATGCACTGGATTATGGAGAAAGCCTATGCAAAAGCCTTTGATTGTGTGGGCCACAGCAAACTATGGCAAGTCCTTAAAGAAATGGGAGTGCCTGACCACCTTACCTACCTCCTGAGAAATCTATATGTGGGACAGGAACCAACAGATAGAACTGGATATGGAACAAATGATTAGTTCGAAATTGGGAAAGGAGTATAACAACGCTGTATATTGTCCCCCTGCTTATTTAACTTATATGCAGAATACATAATGAGAAAGGCTGGACTAGAGGAATCCCAAACTGGAATTAAGACTGCTGGAAGAAATATCAACAACCTCAGATATGCAGACGATACCACTCTGATGGCAGAAAGTGAGAAGGAATTAAAGAACCTCTCAATTAGGGTGAAAGAGGAGAACACCAAAAATGGTCTGAAACTCAACATCAAAAAAACTAAGATCATGGCCACTGCCCCCCATCACCTCCTGGCAAATAGAAGCAGAAGATATGAAGGTAGTGATCTTGGGCTCCATGATCACTGCAGATGGTGACAGCAGCCACGAAATTAAGAGATACCTGCTTCTTGGGAGGAAAGTGATGACAAACCTTGATAGCATCTTAAAAAGCAGGGACATCACCTTGCCAACAAAGGTCTGCATAGTCAACACTATGGTTTTTCCAGTAGCGAAGTATGGAAGTGAGAGCTGGACCATAAAGAAGGCTGACCACCAAAGAACTGATGCTTTTGAATTGTGGTGCTGGAGGAGACTCTTGAGAGACTCTTGACTGCAAGGAAAACAAACCTATCCATTTTAAAGGAAACCAACCCTGAGTGTTCACTGGAAGGACAGATCCTGAAGCTAAGGCTGCAATTCTTTGGCCATCTCATGAGAAGATAAGACTCCCTGGAAAAGCTCCTGATGTTGGGAAAGTGTGAAGGCAAGAGGAGAAGGGGACGACAGAGGACAAGATTGGATGGACAGTGTCATCGAAGCTACCAAAATGAATTTGACCCAACCCTGGGAGGCAGTGGAAAAGAGGAGGGCCTGGTGTGTTCTGGTCCATGGGGTCACGAAGAGTTGGATACGACTTAACAACTAAACAACAAACAACAAGTAGAGCTTTTAAGAATCTCAAATAACAGGTTTAAAAGAAAAATTTTTCTGAAATGAGGGAGATTTTATTACCTGACCTCAGGGTAAGGGTCCTTTCAGCATGTTTATGGTATGAGGGTAGAATGGGATTATATTGGCGAAAAACATCAGTTATAAGAGATAACGTTTGAAAGACCATGAAATGGAAGGATGATTTTAATGAGTTCTAAGACCTGGGAAAGAGCAATGAGATTAAGTGGCGCAATAGGAAAGGTCAAGCCATGAGTGGGAAGCAGTTCATTGTGCATGTATGTACAAGTGGCTTTATGAAGGGTAACAGAAGGATTCGTAGGCTGTGAATAGCTAACTGAAGTTATGAATGGAGTCTAAATCCACATGATTCATGTACTTAACCTTTCTTTGTTTATGCTTTAAGAGAGAGGAAGAGATACAGCCTAGAGGAATGGTTAAGCAACAGAATAAGACAAGGGTGTGGCAACTCTTTTAGCTTGAGGGCCAATTAATTTTAAAAAGATTATTGAGGAGTGTAACTGCAGTGGTGTGTGCAAGGCTGAACATAAGCAGCATTTGACCATAAATACCAGCATATTTCACCTTGAAACTCTTATTGCCGATAACAGAACCTTACCAGAGGCATTTCCTACACTGAGAATGGGCTGGGGGGAAGCAATAGAAAGTTGGGAAAATAGCGAAAAGCAGATTATATGGAAGGGGGCAGTATTGTCATCTGGTGAGCCTCAGGGGGATTAGATTTGGGAAATTCTCCATTCGTGAAATATGGAGAGTGTGCTTCTCTTACCATTTTCCCCCACAGTGGCCTCACATTCATTTGCCTTCATCTTCCTCTTGATTCTGGCCTCACGCTCCCTGTATTATGTAAAAAATAGTTTTGTAAAATGTGGTAAAACCATAGTAGAAGTTCAGTCTGCTTTCTCTTGGCTGTTCGACATAATTTTGCAGGTTCCTTGAGATAAATTCTGTTTGCTTATTCTACAATCTCTCTCTCTCTCTCTCTGTCTCTCTCTCTCTCTCTCTCACACACACACATGCACACACACACACACACACACACACACACACACACACGATAATTATTCTCATTAGTGGGGTTTCCCTATTGTGTTGATTTTCCCCCTCACCTTTTGCTGTTCATGCCATTCTCCCGGAAGCCCTTTGCAAAAGGGTTGCTTTCTATCTTCATTTGAGTGATCTGAAGGAGAAACATCTTATAATTCAAAGGATATTACACACAAAATTTTTAATGGCCTAAATCTAATTAATAGTCCCAGCTACCAGTGACATACAGTAATGGGATTTACGTAAATGTTGATTTACTATTAAATAAATGATTCACTAGTTTTCCTGTACTGATATTAACAATTTAGTCTTATGTTTTTGGTGTACAAATGCCCATGTTTATCCATTAGCCTGAGTTGATTGTCAAATATATATTTAAATGAAACTTATAATTTGCATATAATTTATTTAGATTGCAGAATTTCAGCTTGCAATAGAGCACAATTTTAGGTTTTGTTTTCATGTGAAAAAGGCATGCAGATATATACATTAGTGGTGGTCAGTTACTTAAAAATCAAGGAAAGACTCTCAGAACTTATCTGTGGGAACAATACTGTCTGAAGCACTTTGGGAGTCGTGGTCCCCAGCAGCAGCAGCACTCCAAAACTGTGATCTTTTCCTTTGTGGTTTTGAAGCACTTTGGGGGTTGTGGTCCCCAGCAGCAGCAGCAGCATTCCAAAACTGTGATCTTTTCCTTTGTGGTTATTATTGTCTCTTAGGACTGCGTACTTACACTTTAGGGGGAACAGTTCTCCATTTAAAGACCTGCCCTCCTCTATGGTGACTTGTAAGTGGCCTGGCCACCTTTTCCCCAAGTGTGTTTCCCTGACTGAGCAGGAAAAGTGGATGTCTTGATTGTTAAGTGTACATATCTAATCAGCTCTCATCTTTTAAAGTCATTTTGTAAGATGCAACCCACATATACTGATATAACTTCAGATTCATGGCAGGAAGAATGTGGCATGGCATGTTAGTTCTGTAAGATGGACAGATACTACAAAGTCAGTCCCAAGAATAGACATTCTGGAAGGTCCATTCCTCTGAAATAACATTGTTGCCTCCCTAAATATTTCAACAAAACTACAGTGACCTCTCTTTATTTTCTTTCTTTGCATATATATTTTCAATAAGATGCAGAAAATATAAGGTACAGGGCATTTCAGAGAGTTAATAAACACTATGCTTTATTTGTTTTATATCCTACTTTATCTCAATTATGTGTCCCAATATGGTCACCTGGTCACAGTCTCGTACAATATATAGTGAGCAGTAGTGTATTTCCACTTAAACTATAGTAATAATGTCTAATTGTAATTGTGTTTGCATGTGTTAGTTTAAATTACCATATGCAAATGTATGCAAAGTGCTCTCCTTTTTGTAAAGAATTCCCTCCTTTTTGGTGTACTTTGTCCTCCATGTTTTCCTTTTTAGTGACATCTGTCCTCTTTTTGTTGATGGAACAGTGGCTTCCCTATTGTTTCACTGCTGTTTCTATGCTGTCATGTTGAAACCAACTTATAGCAAACCTAATAGGGCTTTCAAGATAACTGAGATATTTATGGAGTAGTTTTACCAGTTCAACTCCCCCAGTGAGTTTCCATGGCCAGGTGGGATTCGAACCTGGGTCTCCTGAGTCCTAGCCCATCTATCTATTACACACCACACAGGGTACCTGCTGTCATTGGCCGCAACAGATGTTTAGCTGCAAAGGAGTAGAACTGGAGGGAATAAAAACAAATTACATTCCCCCTGAAATACAGGGATATTAGTAGTTTTGCAGTCTGCATTTTCAACCTGACTGATGCTGATGGATATCTAAAAGTGAGCGAGTGATGTTATCTAAATATTTTCTGTGTGTTTTTTTTCCTGTGTGTATATCAGTGATCTGAAATGGGTTCGCATATAAGATGGTCCCTTTCAGCTCTTAAATAAACTGAACTATAAATTCATTCTAATTACAGGAATGGCTGCTGGCACCAGGCTAGGCTGTCCACAAAAGAATTACAAGGTTTAATTTGCTGAAGTACCATTGCTCAAAATATTTAAAGGTTGTCTTTCCATTAAATTCTGATAACACTTGACACAGAGATGAGAAGAGAAACATTTTAAAACTGTAATTCCCAAAATACCTGGAATATTTTGCAAGTTACAGTCCACAACAAAATGTATCCTATTTGCTTTCCTTTTTGAATGGAATTGAATTACACCTAATCAAAGAATAGGAAAGTAAGCCTCATTATAGTTTGAAAGATTATTGTGGGTATGATGGATTTTGGAAGGGGGATTTTAAAAACAAGAGCAGATGTATAGTTCAATGGTGGTTGTAAACCTGTATGAGAGTGAGGGATTATATTGTAGAATAAATTGTCATAGATAAACTCAAAGAGATGTGTTGAACGGCAGAGCTGCAGAAAGATATATTTTGGGACAGAAATATTTGAAAACGTTTGTGACATGGGACAGAAAATACCACCATGCCAGAACCACAGAAGACCTGTCTCTGAGTTCAGTAATAGGCGAGATGACGGAGGGCTGAAAATATGGGCCAGGACAGAGTAACAAATTAAGAATGTGCGAAAAGGAATATTTATAAATAATTTAACTGACGGATAAGAGCCATATTGAAGCAGAAAGATTTCCAGAAGCATGGTGTGAAAGAACATGGAGACCAGTGATATGGCCAGACAAGAGAAGCTGAGGTGATTTAGATACGCAAGAATACCTAGGGAAGCTGGAATGGCAGGTGCAGAATACGAGGAGTGTACATGGATTTGTGTTTTGTGTGAGGACTAGAGCTTTGAAATGTTGCAGTTTGGGGAGTGAAACCCCCAGAATCCCAGGCTGTGCTGGCCAGGGGGATTCTGGGAATTCCACCTCAGCAAAATAACATTTCTAAGCTCGGGTAAAAATGGAGGATGGGTGAAGCATTGGTATAGGAAGGTGCCAAGGAAGGTTTCTGGGCTGACATGGGGAGCTGGTTTGCCTGAAGGGAGGCATGTGAGAGAATGGAGGGCCGTAGGAAGGCTGGGGGTGTGTGATCATTAGTCCTACAAATCTTCCCAGAGATGGTTTCGCAGGGCGATAGGCGGTGTCAGGCCACCTGTGGGAAGGAGAGTTTGCTCAGTGGTGCTCCCCAACATGGCCGTTGCCCAAAAATAAGGACAGGATAGCACTGGACTCCTGGAAGACAGGGTTCAACAGGAGAAGATGGAGGGACCTAGTCAGAGGAGAGGAAAAATGAGGGAAGTCATATAGGCAGAGGAAGTCTGGAGGGGAAGCTGTGGTGTTGTTTTTAAAACCTGTAATGCTCAGATGTTTTTAAAAATTAATTGTGATCTCTATTCCTGTAATATAACTTGTTTAGAGAGGGTTTTGGATAGTCAGTGCTATAATATGAAATTGGGAACGGCTGCCTTGTAAGTCCTTGTCCCATCTGTTCCCCCTTCAGTTCTAGAGGTGACTGAGAGTTGCTGGTTTGCACCAAATCCTGAAATTTGCAGTTGCCCAAATTCCAAAACTGGGCCACTCCGGGGCTATAGGTTGTGGGACTATAAGCTTGGGCAACTGGGGTGTGTGGTGTGTGGGAAAGACCTATTTTTGTTTAAAGAGTGTTGCTGCTGGCAGGGACAGATCACCTCCTTGTACGTAGTTCTTTCACAGCCTTTGTCCCAAATATTAATACAGTATTTGTTCTGAGGGATATCCTAGAATTATGAAGTTGGAAGGGGTCTATAAGGCCATCGAGTCCAACCCCCTGCTCCATGCAAGAATCTAAATCAAAGCGGATCTGACAGATGGTGGTCCAATTTTCTCATGAATGCCTCTAACGTTGGGCTATTCGTTTTAGGAAACGGGAGAGGTGCCATCTTTTCCAGTACTAGGTGGGCTGGGCAGCACCAGGATTAATAGTGTCTCTCTATCTAATTTCTGTGGCATTTGTGTGGGCATCTCGTTAGGACAAGACTGCCAAAGCTTTATGTATCCTCTTGAAAGCAAATTTCAGGAATAAAAAGCAGCTTTTAAAAATGTTTACTTTCTGAATCAGTTATAAAATGATATTAAAATGTATTTCCTTTGAATTATTCACATGGATCAAATTATGTTTAGGAGAAGGGGGAGAGCAGAGGAGAGACAGACCTTTTGTCTAGAGGCAAATTCCCTTCTTACTGCCCTATGAGAACAAAGGTTTTTTTTAATCAAAATTTAAATATAAAACATTTTTTTCCTCACCTGTGGGTTCTGGTAGGCTGTGACAGTCAGAAACTGAGTCTCAGGAAATGTGAAGGAGGCACAACCGCCCCCTACGCCACGGCGTCCTCCAGTTCCAACGACATGTATCCTTGGCTGGTATCGGTGCATGGAGTGAACAATTAGCTGCAAGGGGCATAAAAATCAATGGTGAGTTAAATCCATGATTTCTGCACATATAGTCCTCCCTGTCATATCTCATTTTTACCTGTCTCTTAAACTGTTGTTTTTTTTCTCTGTGTAGAATCACAGTTTGTATGTTCTGTGAATTCTGTATGTGGTGCAAGTTTTAACAGGATTCACCATTCTGAAAATTATGGATTCAAAGGAGCAGAATTCTTATGCTTATAGTTGCAAAAACAGGCTTGGCTCTGATACCAGGGGAAATGGAACCAGTAAATCAAATAAGAGGATTCCATGAGCTACATGGCTTCTTTGCCATTCCTTGTGGATAAAATAACCAAAATAAGTTACACCTAATAAGCAGTAAATGTAAATGTGCATTGTTTGCCTAATTTATACATACTATATATAGTACAGTATCTAGTTTGTTGGTTCTGTAATACTTTGGAGGATTTTCAGATTTTAAGTATAGTATATACAGAGCCCTAGGAATATATCTTCTCTTTTTAATGCACACTGTATCCACCCCCATAATCTCTCAGAATTATCTGACTTAAAGGACTTTCCCATGTCTGTGTCCTCTTGCTTATGGATTTACTTGGGGCTCTCGAAGCCTTCCTTTTACCATGTTCCTTTCCATTTCTTACTGAGTGGTTCTGCATCCTCTCCCACTCCCCAAATCCCTTCTTGCCCATCCCCTCTGCTGAAGCCATACATGTCCATGAGGATCCAGTGTGTTGTTTGTGAGCTTGAGCCGGTGGAAGGATACAGGTTGACGCATCCAGTGAGCACCTGATGCAGGTGAGTCAGGGTGAATGTAGACCCGGTCTGGAGGTGGTAATTCGGCCTTCCCACTGGCTTCCCAACGTTTTCCATGCCACTTATAACGGGAACCGCCTACTGGGACCACGTCCACTAGCAGCAAGTACTTGGCTTCAGGATCCAGTCCCGTTACTGAAACTTTCAGTTGTGGAAACATCCGCCTGGAGTGCGAATTGAAATAATGGGTCAGAAACTCTTCAGGAGTTCCAAGGAGGAAAGAGATTCAGATTTAGCAAAGAGCAGAAACAAGTAGAGCTTATACAGCTATAACTGAGCAGAAATAGGATGATACTCTGGGACTTAACACATCCTGCTACCATTGCTCAGTTATATATGGTCTCAGCTGTAATTTCTAGAAATAAAAATCCAGCCTCTGTAGACTGGACTATACTTTGACTCTGGGCAACAACCAACTTTGAGTTTCTGTTTCTTGTTTTACATTCAGTTTAAATGTATTAGAAAACAAAATGTAGTGAAAGTGAACCATGTCCACCAGTCATGCCTCATTTTCATGCAAATCCCATGTGCCACAGGTGGGCATTTTTTCTACTTCGGCTTGCTTAAGGTAGTAAAAGAATGTCACAGTCTCTTATGTACAAATGTATTTATAAGGTATTCTGTGGGAAGCTGAAATAATGCAAAATGCCCAGATTAAGCATGAATTACTTATTTTCCCCACTCCTCACCCATTTTCATGCATGCAATATTTTCCAGATTTGGGCCATTGTTTGAATGATAGTTCCCACCATCTGCAGCAGTGACAGATGGTGGGCTACTGTGCTTCTTGGGTGGATGGCATAGCAGCTACTGGCAGGCAGAATCAAGAGGAGAAGGGTATTTGCATATGCATACATGTGCCTACATGTAGGCAAACATTCACTTAGGTGCTCCCTCACCTCCTCCCTCTTAATTCACTCCATCCTAAATTGAGGAGCAGACAGATCCTGTGTCCAAATTAGAAATGCTCCTATTTGCTGATGCCTCCCTCTGTGCTTGGGTTCAAAGCCAGACAAGCTGACTTATTTGCTCACATTAATTATCTCATTCTTTCCCCCTTCCCCCAATAAAGACTAAAGTTGGCAATTCAATAGAAGGAGACTACCAGTGGGGCCCTGAGAATCCTCCTCTAGTATGTATGTATGTATGTATGTATGTATGTATGTATGTATGTATGTATGTATGTATGTATGTATGTATGTATGTATGTATGTATGTATGTATAAGTAAGAAGGCATACAAGAATGAGGTGGCTGGGTTTAACTTGAGACTGGAGTGAGGCAGATCCCCACTTGCCCTAATTGGTTCCCTTCAGTTTTGTAAGGTAAATTGATTCCTTTGTGGGGTCCCCAAACTTTTAGGAGAGAAAAGAAGAAAAAATATCTAACCAACAAGTACAACCTCCCCCCGTTTTTATGTGCTAAGTTGCTTCACACGGTGAGCCTGTGAATTAATGACCTCCCAAAAGTCCTGTTGTTAGCCTTGGTCTGATCTGGCAACTAAAGGCTGTGGTTTCCTTTATTGAGTTAACCCATCTCATGATAGGTCTTCCTCTTTTCCTGCTACCCAACTTTTTCTAGCATTTTTGTATTTTCTCAATGAGTCTGGAATACTTATAATGGCTTCAGTTTAACCATTTTAGTCCCCCCCACATTCAAATTATAATGGTATGCTCTATAAGGCTCCAAGATAGCTCAGGTTATGATCCTGTAGGCACTTACTTGGGAGTAAGTCATACTGAACTTGATAGGTTTTTTTATTTTCTTTGATATTAAGTTCTGTGAAGCTAGCACGGTGCTTAAAAAGAAAAGGGTAGAAGGGCAAGTGTTGGCTCTGTTAATTCAATGCTGGGGAAAAATTGGACTCTGCATAAAGTCTGAAGTGCTTCATGTATTCCAGGGCTTATCCTGACAGTGGGAGGGGTTCTGAGGTGTAGCTTAAACATATTTCTTCACCCTTACCTCCTTGTCTAGGTTGGTAACTCACCTGCCTGCCTTGGTAATGATCATCTCTGTCCCAATGCTGCTGAACCGTTTCCAAAGCTCACCATTCTCTAGGCTCATCCGTACTCCAGAGGGTAGGCGTGTAGCTGGTGGGGGACCGGATGAGAGAGCTTGGCCTGGCGCATAAGGGAGTCCAGGAGCTGGGGGCAGGAGGCGTCCTGGAGGGTCCAGACTAGGGAAAAAGCTGTCCAGTTTGGGGGTAGCATCAAGGTCTGAGTGCAGAAGAGAGAAAAGAACAAGTTGCAGGCTTAATGAAGTTGTGGGGGGCATTAACAGAGTAGTGCGGGATGTAGAAGGGTGGGGGCTGCAGACAAGATTGAAGAGTATCATGTAGGAATTTGTCACCCTCCTGCTGGTTTCCGCCTGTTTTCAACCCCCTCCCCAATTTCCCTGACCAGTTGGTCTTGGGTGCTAAAAATTCATCTGATGGGAAGTAGGTGGTGGTGGGAAGCAAGCAACAGAATTTATGTGAATTCTACAATTTTGTTCTCCTTTTGCTCTCCCATTCCTGGCCTCCCAGAGCCTGCCTAAACTGGCTGCAGTCTTTCCTGTTATGGATGCAACTGTATTTATATGCATCCTTTTTTTCTGCTTACAGTTGACTTTCCTCTTGCTTTTTCAAATTTGACTCTCAGCCCTGCAGATATAAAGCAGTCCTAGATTCTAACCCAAGCCCTTAGATCCATTCTGTTCTAAGCCAATACCCTCATAACAAACCCAGAAGCTGGGATTTGCAGCTCATTCTCCCTTCTTTAAGTTACAAAGCACCATTCCCAGCCCCCCACCCTGAATCCTGACTTACATTTCATCTTTAAAGGCAGCAGCAGCAGCAGCAGGATTGGGGGGGGAGGCAAAATCTCACCAATCCATTATAGCCACTCCAATTCTAGAGTATCCTAGTGTTGCTTTCAACCTTCTCTGCCCCCATTATGTAGGAATCTTAGATCTTGCTTTCTTGATTTAACATAACACTTTACACATTTCTATCCCACCCTTCAGGGATGCACTGATAATATTTCTCCCACCCCACTTAATTTCACAACAACCTTGTAAGATAGGTAAGAGGTAGTGGCTGTCCCAGGATCAGTCAATAAGCTTAACTGTTGAATGGCAGTGTCCTTGAGGCCAGTCACCGGTGAAAATACCCAACAGTCTTGGCTTCATTCTTCCCACTCCTCTATTTTGCTTTAGCTTTTCATATGCCTCCCACTCTCCCTCCCCACATTTCCCAATTTCTCACCTGGGTATCTGAAGGCTTCATACTGGGGTGCCTGACTCTGGGGATACCCAGGCCCAGGAGGTGGAGGAGGACGCAGAGGATAGGAGCCCCCATACTGTGAGAACATCTCTGAAGGGTGGTACATGGGATGCTAAAAGAAACCTGGGAGCCACAACTCTTGGGTTCTGTGGGAAGGGACTGGGGATCTAATAGATTAGGCCAGGTGAGACTGGAAGCCAGGGTTCCTGTCTTCTGTGGGTAGGGGGGAGGTCTAGAAGGTTAGAAGAATGGTGCAGGATGGCAGGGTCCCTGAAAGAGAATGGGGTACAGTTTGTTGGAATAGGAGCCTGAAAGTGAGGGGAAGGGAGATAGCTGGGTTTGCGCAGGGTTGAAGGGCTGGGAGCCAGGTTTCCTTGGTTCTGTCTCTTGAGGCCAGTCTGGGATGCATCCACTTCCTCTCTCTTCCTGAGGAGCCCCTGGCTGGGGCTGTATTTATGATTCCGCCAAAGCTCTTTGAAGTGAGCCCCCAAATGGCACATTCACACCTCGTGAGGGGAGGGGTTTGGGGCTGGAGGAGAGAAGTCACAGGGACATACATTCTCAGTCCCAGGATGTCCTATCCTTACACACCTTCTAGCTATTTCTGTCATTGTCCCTCTATTTTACCCTACTTCCACCTTCTATTCTGTTTCAGTCCTAGCTTGAGTGCTCTTATACAAGATTTTGTCTTTAGTGCCAGGTACCCCACCCATTCCTATGTAATTGCCACCCCGGCTCTAAGGACACCCGCTCCCAATCCAAGCCCCCCCTCCTTAGGAGAAGCTCCCCAACTTCATCTCAGACTTCATTAAGAGTGTTGGCTGAGTCCCTTTCTGTGTCCACCACTTGAATCCCCCTAATTGCCTAATTAACACCCTGACTCCAAAGTTTCCTGATTGATCCTGACCTATGAGATCCTTGGTTTACAAGTGAGTGAAGGGGGAGGTGCCATGGTCATTTGTCATCCAGATGTTTTCACAGCTGGGCAGGACAGCTGCAAGAGACTGGCAGATCCTGGGATTGGAGTTTGGGGTCCTGGTGAGTTTAGTTACAGCCACATTTGGGAAGGCAGGAAAATACCTGGCTTTCTGTACCCTAATAAAATAAAATAAAATAAAACTAAAGTAGCTGTAGTTGGTCTAGGGAATCACTGTCAGAAGGTGTATGTAATCACTTGATGTGATTAGTTATTTGGAACTGAATATTACTGATGCATTGTGATACATTGTAGGTATGTTACTTCGTTGATGGTAGGAACATAGTACTTTAACTCAACATGTATTTACTTTCTCCAATTTAGCTATTAACTCTTATAAGGAGGAGTGTCCATAATTAATAGGACTATGCTTAGAATGAATTTCCACTCCCAAAAGTGTGTATCAGTACTTACTTATGGATTTATTTCTGTGTTCATCATGTCCTTCCAAGGAGCATAGGGCAACATATCTAGTGGTTCTTCCATGTGAAATCCTCACAATAACCTTGGTGAAGTAGCTTATAGACTGCTGACAGAGACTGTTAAAGTCTCCCAGTTAGCTTTACAGCTGTGAGTTGGGGTAGGTTTTGAACCTGAGACATCTTTCGTCCTACTCTGATAGTTCAACAATTGTCTCACACTGGTTGTCCAACTATGCACCAAGAAAATCTGAATGCTTCAGCTGAATTTTTAAAAAATGCAATAGTTTCACATCTATTTAATCGTTTGAAAATGACAATTGGCAAGAAGGGGAGCAAGATACTTAACCCCCCTTCTTGATTTCTGGAAATCTTTGGAGACATCACCAGGAATTGCCATATCTTTTAATCCTATATCTGTGGTTTCAAGGGCTGGAAATTTGACTTCTTAAATACAGACATCAACACAGAATGCTGAATTCTACACCTGTACTGGTGTCTGCACTTGTGCATGGCTGTGAAATGCTCAACTGTGTCAAGCAATATCTCTTAATATTAAAGGTCTGCCAAGCAGGTCTAAGGGAGGAAGGAGAAAAATATTACCTGTGCTGTTCCCTTGTTTCAGGCAGTAGCAGATAGTGTGAACAAGGAGGGAGTTGGAAGCTTGAGGAGAACCAGATACAACCACATCAGGGCTAGGATTTTAGGTCCTCTGGAGGGTTTATATGTTTTATATTCACCATTTACTCTGCAGTTGTGTTTATTGGTTACACCACTCTGAAGATCAGCTGCTGTTGGGTTCTCATGATAGATTAATGCCGAATTCAGAAACTTATTTTTAGCTGTTTCTTTTCAGTTCTGAATTCAGTGCTTCTCTATAGGAGTCTACCCAATTTTTCTGGAGGCAGATGTCACATTAGGGTTTTACCCACTGACTGCTGTTCAAAGGTGCAATTTTTCACAAAGTTTTAAGTGAGAAGCATCTTTTACTCCTGGATTCTAGAGAAAGCTAGGGAGAAATAGCTGGTTTTGCCTAATAGATAGTAGCTAGAACTGATCTTTTAAATGGAATCAACATTTTGTTTGGGAGCAGTGAATAAAGCTGTAAGTGTCATGATAAAGAGCAGACAAAATGGATTTGAATCTTTATCCAGTGGATAGAGTGATGGTCTAGGACTCAAGAGGCCTGGGTCTTAATCCCCACTCTCCCATGGAAACTCACTGAGGGCATGGTACTGGTAAAGCCACTTCTTAAATATCTCACTTGCCTTGAAAGCCCTGTTAGGGTCACTGTAAGTTTGTTCTGACTTGACAGCACAACCACCACCTTTTACAATAGGCTTGGGAGTTTTTCCTTTCCTTTCCTAGCAACTCCACTTTCAGAAAAGGTTTTTTGTTATGTCACTCAGCAAGCTTTTGAGTTCTGCCAAATGTGGCACGCTCTATCCTGAGGGCAACAACAAGGCATTGCTACACTATGTTAACAGTGTTCCTAGGCAATCTTGGCTGTGGGATTTGAGCACCCCCTTGTGCTCCTCCAGAGGATTGTTCAATAAACGAGAATGTCTCTCTTCAATCCTGATATTCTTTGAATGGAATTTTAAGGCATGGAGGAAGGGGAAGGGGAATGTCTCTTTTTCCCATTGATCTTACAGGAAAATTGAGTGTGTTTGAGCATTACCTATATCTAACTTACGTGTGGTGAACACAACTGTGAGCAGTTATTATGAGAAGGGAGAATTTTGGAGGCCACTATCCCCATACGTAATTGAAGACAGGAGGGCCTGGCGTGCTCTGGTCCATGGGGTCATGAAAAGTCGGACATGATTTAATGACTAAACAACAACAACAAAAATCCCCATAATTCTTGCTAATTCCTCACAGCTCCTGATTAAGTAGGCAGCAACAGAGGTCCAGTCTCTGTTTCTCCCCAGTAAATGAAACATTTTTTAAAATATATATCCAGATATAAATAGGTTGCTGGATTGTAAAGTTAAGTGAATTTCTCTTGGGTGGGTAGGAGGGATGGAAGATAGGTCCATTCTAGGGTTGTCTTTCCCTCCCTTTAAAATGCTTGTCTTGTTGCCGCTGTGCAGATGTGAGAAAAAGGGATAATAAACACCACAAAATGGAACCTCCAATATCAGGGGCAGCATACTGATGATAGCCAAGGTGTGGGGAACAAACTGGACGTGGTATCAATGCTGGCCATAACTGGGAGACCATACACTGGTCGCCATTCAGCAAGTTTCCGTGGCCAAATAGGGATTTGGAGTCTTAGTCCGACACTCTCTCCATTACACTACATTAGTTCTTGACTTTAAAAACATGAAGCATATATTGTAAACCATATTATTGATTAAATAAGATCTGCCCTTTACTAGAAGAGTAACCATTACCTCCTGCCCACATTTGGACATTTCTAGAGACTGTGTAGGCTTCAGGTGGACTCCACAAAGAGATGTTCTATCAGTGCAGAGCAAATACAGTACCTTGTTATTCGGCTACCAGTTTTAATATTGTGTCTGTTAATTCCTTTTTAAATACAGTAGTACTATAGTAGGTTATTTTTTTAAAAAAAATTCCTTATTGCTTGTTTTAATTCTGTGAACTGCCTTGGGTCGTCCTGAGGACAAAGGTAGAATATAAATGTTTTAAATGTATCAATGAACATTCCAACAAGAGTAGTTTATTATTCTACCTGGGAAAATCCATAAATAGAACTCTAATTCTGTTACTTGACAGAAGAGGGAGCCCTTGAGCCCATGTTAGAATCAAGGGGAAGTGATAAAGTCACAGAACAGGGTTGGAGATGCATGCTCAGGGCATGATGGGAACAAATTCTGTCTCTGAGCCCCACAAAAAGAGAGAAATAGTAGCATAAGCTAACTGTGCTTCTTCCTTTTACTATGTCTGTCCCCCACCCCCACCTTGGTATCCTTCAGCTGTTAAATCCTCGGGGACTTTTTCCACATCCTTTGAGATAATAGCTAGTTGGTGTTGAAGGTGGAGTAAATGCCATATGGCATAAGGAAAAATCAGGAAAATGCAGAGAGAAATCTGAAAGATGAGCCAGCCTCTTTCATACATTTGGTAAGAAGGCCATGCATTGCTTTGCATTTCTTCACTGGGGAGGTAGCTGTTGAACAGCCTTTTCCTTCCCTGGGTTCCTCCAAATGCTGTCGGCTACAGTTCTCAATCTCCCTAAATATCAACCATGTGGTATGGAGCTGATTGTACTTGTAGTCCAACAGTATTTGAAGACATGGATTAGGGAAGACTATTTTTTAGTCTCTAAAAGGGATTTCATTTGTGGCTTGTCCATGAATCTTTATTTCAGAGGCTCTGCTATCAGGTATGTACACAAAGGTGTGCCTCACGCAATAGTCACAAATGCTTGCTTTTAATTTAACCTTTCCTGCTTCTCTTACTATCACCTGTAAGCTACTTTAAATATATGTTTTAGAAAGGTGGGTTGGAAATCCAATGCATAAATAAAATATCCAGGAGCAAGGCTCCACCTGGGCCTATTTCTTATAGGCAGGCTCTTTTCCTCCAGTTTACAGAAAACACTACCGTGAGAAAAACTCTCACTTCGATGCATTTATTTATATAATACATACACTCACACAAAGTCACAAATACTGTACAACCCCTCCCCTCCCCTTCCCATTCCACTGTACATTTGCCCCCTTTATCTTTTTAATACAGGCTCCCTCTGTACAACAAACCCAATACTCTCCCCCATCCCTCAACCCTGCTTGCACCCTGCCCCTGGCCTCGGTGCCTCCTTAGGCACTGCCTCCTTATGCCACATGGCGGTGGTGACACATCAGAACCATGGGTATGGTCTCTTGGCAGAAGCTCTGCCTTCTCCTTCCCAACTCAGACGCAGCCTCCGGAGATGATCTGGATGCCAGCCCACTGGTTGGGAAGTCAGAGGCAGGTTCTGGGGAAATTGTCACTTCATTTCTTATGCTCCACCCTTGCACACAGTTGACCAATGATAGGGGGATTATTTTGGTGACTGCGTATTTCAATCCCAGCCATTATCCTTGATCATGTGGTTGAGTTCAATTATGTATTTCCCCTCCTTGTACTTCTGACTGGTCTCGAAGGCTTGTTCCTGCCGAATGAAAGAAAGGAAGTCAGTGGTTGAGGAAGTGTTGTGAACTTTCATAATGCTTCTAAGAATTTGCTTTAAGGAGGGCAAGAGAAACTCACATATTTCCATCCAAGTGTGGTCTTGCAGTTCTCACAGTATATATCAGCCACAGCATGCAGGCCGGTCAGCAGCACACGCTCTTCAGCTGGGCCACATCCAACATTCACTCTGAGTAGAAAAAGCAAAATAGAGAGGCAGAGTGTCACTTAGTTCTAACAGTGCATTTCAGTCCCAATCTACCAAACCTTCTGGTGTATTTTTAAGTCTGATGCCACCTTCCCATTTAATGTGATGTGTTTCAACCTATACCTGTATATGGGATAGGGCCTGCACTCCTGCCTGATGCCAAAACTGCCTTGTTCCTTTTGGTGTGTGAGACAAGTTCACTATTCCTTTTGATCAGCATTTGGAAAAGTTACTTTTTAAAGTATCAGAACTTTCAGAATCCCTCAGCCAGCAAGGCTGTTAGACATAATAGCTGGGCGAATCTGGAAACTGTAATCTTCAAACAAAAACCAAACAAACCCAGCAGCAATATTTTTCCAAGCTCTAGAAAGGAAATACGGGAACGCTCTTAGAATCTTTCAAAGCTTTGCTCCTTCCCCATTTCCTGGGAGGATTAACGTGCCATCTTCGTAGTTGTGCTGTACTTCTAAGGCAGGGGTCCCTAACCCCTCGTTCACGGCCCAGTGCTAGTCCATGGCCTTGGCAGGACCAGGCGCCCCCCCCCACGCACGGCTGCCCTGCCCACCCACGCATGCGCATGAGTGTGCCCTGCCCACCTAAGGTTGGGGACCACTGTCCTAAGGCACTGCAAATGCACTGAAAACACAATGCAACAACACTCTTTTTCTCAAGCTGAAGACGGCATCCTAGGAGTGAGGCTAAGCTTCAGAAACTGCACCTCTTCCCTAGCTTGGGAGGAAGGCTGGGGCTCTTGAATTTCTCTGGTGGGTTTTGAGGCACATATTCAAGAAGACTCGTTGGAAGGGGAGAGAAGTTAGTTCCTGACTTCATGTGATACAAACTTAGGAACAGGGCCACATACCTGAGGGTAAGGAACTGGTCAACCTCAAAGTTTTGGTTAGCTACAAAAGCCTGCCCAAAGTTATGTACCTGTGTGTGTGGAGCCCAGAACTGATTCCCTGATATCTCCTTGGAGAGTACTGGGAAGTACCGGGCAGAGACTCTGAAGACTGTGTTTAGTTGTTGTTGTTTTTTCATTCAATGTTGCCTGAGCATCACGTTTTCTTCTGGCAAAGGGTTATCTATCTATGAAAGAGGTCAAGGGAATTTGTATCCCTCTAGGTGTTGATAAACTATTACTCTTTTACTACTGGCTTGGCTGATGGGAGTTAAGAATCCCACAACATTAAGAGGACCACCGGATTTTTATCTGTACTCTACAGAGACATTTTCTTCTCAATTCCTGGTCATACAACTTCCACATGTGTTGGTTTGTCTAATTTAGTAAGTATTCTCTTATGTCCAGTCATACATTTCATGTACTATATAATTCCTACCCACATTTTACTAATCAGATGAGTGTTCCCATTTATTTCTGATGGACTAAGCAATATATACCTGGAAGACTGTTAGCTAACCTACATTTTGGGCTATGGCATGTCAACCTATGTCTTGCAGTATTTTTCTCCATAGAGGGCAATGGGAACATGTGATACAGGCCTGCCCCTCCATAAAATAACTTTCCCACGCTTCCAGGGAAGATGTGAAGGAAAGATGTACCTTGGTTTATTCACATGCAGTTACATAGCTCCATGTAATTGGGCATCCTGCCCTAAACAAGATGATGTGGACTTCTTTAACAACATTAACCTGAATAAAGCTATCTTTCCCCTTTGGACATTCCAATAGATATAGGGTAGCGCATCTCTGGCACATGTCCCTGGTACTTTTGTGTACATAAGTGTCACATGCCTGAATAACTTGCACATCTGAGAAAAAGTTAAATGAATATATTTTTCTCTGACCTCTAGATTTTTTCTTTTTTTTAAGTGACAAATACTTAACCATATGAGCTTATAGCTCTAGTGAGAGATGGTACAACATGCCCCCCACAAGTTTACTATCTTAGTGAGCACCAGGGCATCGTCTTAACATCCAGAGCTCACACTGGATTTTTAGAAAAGTGTGCAAGTGCTACTGATCTGTTCTTTAACCAATTCCTGCTCCCCTCTTGTGATACTCACACAGAGTTGAATAAATATGCCCGACCTTGGCTTCCTTGAAAAGACTGTAATGACAAGGAAAAAAAGGCAACATACTCTTTTAAAATAATCTTCTTCAAAGTTTCTATTGCAGCAAACACTGAACAGTTCTATGGTACTTTACAGGCACGGCAAACAGAGATATTTGGCACTAGCCACAAGGTGTTACCCACCAGACTCTTTGTGTTCAAAATAAATATTGAATGCCTTCTTTACCCTTCCAACCCATCTCTGCTTCTCAGGTTTATGTGTCCCAAGCCATAGCATCCTGACCTACAGACTTCAGTCTTATATCACAGATGTTTATTTTCTTTTGCTGTCTCCTCTCCCCCATCTTCTTTACTGAGAAACCTTAGCTCCAGCCCTTGCTTCTCAGCTCCTTCCTTATTTGCTCTCTGGCTGACTTTCAGACACACCCCATTTATACACACTGAACTCTTCAATGATTAACCAGTCAGCAACACAAACCTGTTGACCTTGCAGTATCTCCAGTATAAGGGTGGGGATTAGCAAAGCAAGAATTAACAAGCCCCTGGGAAAGAAATATTAAGCCTGAAGAAGTCAATACCCCATCCTCCACCTACTCCTTCAATTTCTTCCAGTGCTTTGCTTTCTTCCAATGACTCTGCTTCCAGGCAATAGTTCCTTTCTGTTAAATAATACCTCCACTTACAAGCCCAGCAATTGGCAAATAGCTTAAGCCTCCTTTTTTGCTGTGCTTTTAACTGAAATGAAAATACAAGCTTTTATGCCTATATTCTCTGGCCTATTTAGGAAGTGGTTCTTGATTATTTCTTTAGTATATTCTACCACACATCCATAGGCACTGGCAAAGATGAGATCCAGAAGTGGATGTTAAGACTGAGGTCAGCTATGCTGCAAAGTTAGCAGTGGATAAAATATTTAAGTAAAATATCAAAATTCAGATTTATGCCGGCCACAGTCTGCGCTCAGCCTTAGCAAATCTACATACTTGCACTCGCTTTCTCCTGTGAAACATGAATATTAATTTTTGTTCAAAATATATTTACTCTGGCTTTTGGCTTAGTCATTAAGGCAGTGCACTCCTTTGGCCTACCTCACAGGGTTACTGTGAAAACAGGCAAAGGTAAAGATTGTAAATATAGATGGACATTTTTCTAGATATGGAATAATAAACTTTTTACTGATGTAGGGTAAAATTCGGTAAAACAGAACTTCCCTTTAGCTTTGCTCTTTCCTTCCCCTTTTAAAAAACATCTGATGGGAGGGAAAACAAAAGCCCCTTCCTTCAGACACCACAAGCGGATGTGTGGGGATACTCTACTTGCCCCCTTTTACCTTGGAGATGAGATCGTCGTGATTGGCCAGGTGTGCCCGGCAATGCACACAGCTGTAGCGTCGGTGACAGTTGTCCAGATAAGCTTGGAAGGTTTTGGGTTTGGACAGCCTCACCATTGTGGTGGGGTCACACAAGAGGAGAAGCTGCAGGAGAGTTGTAAAGAACAAGACAGTTCCTCGAGGTGATGGTGTGAGGAGTTCCCTCAAAATCCTTTAAAAGAAAAGGCGTAGAGAAGGGTTATCAAACTGTGGATAAGCTGCCAAGAGTGTCTTGACAGCGATGCAGGAGTTGCAGTGCCTGTGTTTTGTTTATTAACTCTGGGAGCCAGCCAAGTTCTGACTAACTAGTCTGGTATCTAAACAAAAACAGTACCACATGCTTCTCTTCCCCAGGCAGCTTCTTGGAGGCTCAGCCTGTAATTAACCTCAGGATATAGGTCAGCACTGATCATCTCATGACGAAGAAGCCATTACCAGGAATAGAACCCAGCAGTCCTAGCTCTTCTAAACTGTCCCCTCCAAAGAACCTTCGGTTCATGGCCTCCCCCACTATCCAATATATCTGGAGCTATGTATGCAACCTACCATAACAACTTGATTTTCCCTTCTGAAGAACCCCTATAGTTCTTGGCTTTCCATTACTCCCATCACCAAGAATTTAACAAACCTTTCCCTATTGACCAACTTCCCTTTCTGCTGCATATCTATTATCCTTGTTGGAAATAATTATTACCCACATTGGCTGTTTGATCTCTTCCAAGCAAATAGGACTTAAGAGTGCTATGGGTTTAGGCCCAGAAGGTACTTGGTATGGAGAATGAGGAAGGGAAGATATAATGGAACAGGGAAAATATGCAAAATGAATAATTATACAGTAGTGAGGGATAGAAACAGCTGATCAAAATGATGGGTAATGTAATGTACAGAAATATAATAAAAAGATGGTGGGAATGATAAAATATGACTGGGTGTAATGCTTGTAAAAGCAATCTATACGAATGGCTGTTAAATGATGCAAAAGAAGTTTGGGGACATACAAAAGGAGGAATGAAAAGACTGAAGAGATGGGTAGCAGAAATGGAAGTGCCTAATTGCAAAAAAAAAAAAAAAGGACATAGGAATGGAGATTGGAGGGCAGAGGAAACTGTAAATTCCAGCTGGATGTTGCAGGAGAGGAGAGAGAGAAATTAAGAAACAAAGCAGCCTCCAGATGAGTGGAGGAGGAGAAGGGGAGGGGAGAGAAGTAGTATGACCGCAGCAGTCAGTCACAAGGAAATAAAGTGGCTTCAACAAATGCTGTGTAGAGGATGAATTTGTTGGGGGAAGATAGGCAAATTGTGAGCCGTGGGTGAGGATGGAGAGAGAGAGACTTGTTTTGCAAAATAAAAAAATAAAGTATGGGTGGGGGAGAGAAAGATGTGGTTCCTTAAAAGGGAAGCGAACCAACCAGACATACAGAAAGGAGATAGAGAAAATGGAGACTAAGGCTTAGTATATCCAAAAATAACTATAGTAAACAGTTGGGATTGGTAGGGGTTAGCATTTGAAGCATGAAAAGACACCGCATTGTACAAATTCTCCATCTCTTTCTTCTCATTATAAGCTTTAGATCTGATCCCCCAAGCGATGAGCAAAATGCTTGAGGATAGTGGTAAATTCTGCCTTCACCTTTGGATATTTACAATGTAGTCTTATTTTTCCTATTACAAGGTAAGAGGGCATTAGCAATAGAGTGAGAAGAACAAAGGGCAATGGAAAGGAACGTTAAAAACAAAGATGAAGTAAAGGCAAGATAGCAGAGGATGATGGGATGGTGTTAAAAAAAGATTTTCATTTCTTACTCCTCCAGCCTTGACTAAAAGCTATGTTAAAAATGCCACAGAAATGAAATTCTATACTAGAAAGCTGTCTAGTTTCCTTATTAAAAAACACAATGACAATCTGTATCAGTGGTAACTTAGATCTGGAGGTATTTTATTTCATCAGAAAGTTAATAAAAGTATGGCTGATGATCTCATGGATAGTAACCAGAAGAAATAATATTCCAGTCTAAACATCAAATGTTTCAAGATGTGAATGCCTCACCTTTTCTACATAATGTGCCTTGAACATTAGTTATATCAGACAATAGAAGCTTTCTTATGATAGGCAATACACCAGATATGCAAGCTATAATTAATGTTCTCCTCCCTTCTTAAATTGCTTTAATATGGGAGCCCCAGAAATCATTTTCAATCTCTTGTGAAGTGCAGGTTATTTTGACTTGAATCTTTTCATTTTTAGAGCAAATATGGTTGTGTTCATATTAAACTAAGCTGTTCTACTGTGGAAGATATGAATGCAAGTTAGTGACCTAATTCTGTGAGGAGTAAGCACTGAACAGAAGTGGGATGTAGTATTTAAGCTATATGGTTTTCAGGAAAATGTGCTCCACATTAGACTACTACTAAAAAAAGAGAGCGTGCACGCAAATGTGTGTGTCTGCACGTGTCCATGTGTATGTGTGTGTATGTAAATACATATGTGTATATATAGGTTAATAGACTATTGGGAGGAGCCTCTAATATGAGAGTGGGATATGTCATTAAGAGAAGGCAAACCAAGTAACCAGCAGTTTTCTTTTCCTGCAAGAGTTACTATGCATAGTTCTTAGTCTCAGATTCTTGCCTATTAAATGTCAATCCTATAATATAGAGGGAAGAAAGAAGGAAATGGGATATCTGGTTCACACAGTTTTAAAATCAGACATGGATAATGTTGCAAAAATATGCTATGTTTGCCACTTCTGGTTAATTTTAGATCTATTAAGGGAATTTAAAAATATTTTTAGAAAGCTTTGAAGGAAAACCGGAGGAGACTTTTAAAAAAATATGGGCATGATTTGATGGAGAAGTTTGGAGCAATCCAACTTGTGTTTAAAAGGCTCTTTTCTTCAATGAGACAGGACTTCAGATCGTTCCAACTTCTCCCCCTCTGATTATTGACTCCTCTGCCCCACACCCCTTTCCCCACCTTTTGTTACAGCTGCTATTCCATGGACTGCAACAACTTCCTTTTTTGTTGTTATTTAATTTTGTAAGTGGCACAGCACTACAGCAATATACCAGCCTAGCATAGATGCACCCTTATATCAGAAATAATGTTACATCACTTAGGAAAATATTTTTAAAAACTTTAAGGGGAAAATAGAGGAAAGGATTTCTCCGCTGTCTTTTCTATGGTCACAACTCACTGCATATGTCACAGGGTTGTCACTGAAGAGAATGCCACCCACAGATCTATTTAGGAGCAATTTAAGCAACCACATAGACTACAGAATGGAATAGTCTGGAGCGCTCCCAATCACACCAAATAAACTGTAGCCCTAGTGCTGTGCTAAAAGTGAGTGGAACAGTTGACAAAAAGGAGCAGGATGAATTGCTGCTAATTAAAACACATGTGGTTGCCCAAAAATAATCTGAATCAAACCACACCAAAAGCCACCGAAATAGCAAGATGTGGTATTGTTCATGTAATCATCCCCTAAATCTTGCTAGTTACCAAAATTCTAAGCTGGAAAACCCCAAATTTCCTAAATTGACTGTAAGATCGTAATCCTGTCCGCCTAGATTCTTTGTGATATAGCAGTTTTACCTGCTCTTTCTAGCTTTAAAGATGTGGTTAAAGTCTCCCACTCTGCATGAACAGACCCATACTTGTGACTTGTGTGGTTGGGCTCCCTGCCTGCAATCAATATTGTGCTAACAGTGTACTCTAGGGACAAACAACAATACAGTCTACTGAAAACATAGAGGGTGCTATAGTACACTGAATCAACAATGGCCTTTGTCTGTTTTTCCCTTTCTTTCTGATGGAGGCTATATGGGCCATTTAGAATGCAGGAAACTGAGCATACTGTTACATTTGGAGAAATGCCATCCTTTAGTGCTAGACTATTAAAAACCATTTAGGTAGTGGGTTATAATATATGGACATGTTGCTTGAGCAAAGGGGGATACATGTTACCAATGCCTGCTGTCAGGACCCATAGAATAATTGCCTGGGTTGCATTTCGTTCTTTTGTTATTTATCGAAGCCATCTACCACCAAGAGTAACAAATCCGATGACACGGATTGTTACTCAACTCGTCACCCACAAAAATCCCCTCCATAGGTGGCGTCTGTTCCCTTAGACGGGAACCCACTTCCAAAGCTACCCACTACGATCCCACCTGATAGACGAGAAACGCAGGAGCGTTTATTCCTCTGCTGTGTCCTCTGCGTTTTCCTGTAACCCAGGCTAGGTACAGACCGAAGGTGCTGGTCCAGCTTCTAGGTAGGACAGGCGCCCCGGCGAGAGACCTGCGGGGCCCCCCAGAAGAAGCTCCAGCTGGAAGTCTAGACTTCCTCTTGTTTACAAACCAAAGCTGAGAAACAAAGGTGTCGCCTCCCCTTTTTTTTTTTGCTCCCCCTCCTCCTTTCTGCGGGCTTTCTCTTTTGCTCCTTCCTCTTTCTTTCCAGCCAATGAAGGCAGCGTATGCAAATAAACTGCAGAACTTTTGAAGGGGAGGGGCGCTGAGTGGAGGAAGCACGTAAGCACGTCTGTGAGGGACGGGAGGCGAGATGGCGAGTTTGCGCTGTTCCTGTATCAATTTCATAGGCGCGGCTTGTCCGGAGGCACAGGAAGTAATAGCTGCAACTGAGCGTGGTCAAAGCGCTTTGCTTTCACGGCAGGTGGGGTGGGGGACAAAAGAGGAAGGTTCCAGTTTAGCAGTCTTGTTGCAGAGAAAACATAGGGTGTGAACAAGAATCTATTATGGGTAAAAACAGGAATATGAGACTTTCAGTGCAAATTCCTTTGCTAAAAAATCTGGAGGGTTGAACAAACGTGGTTGCTACAAGCCATGATGATGATAGAGCTCAAATCACTGCACAGGATCTGTTGCTTCTTCGTTACCCGTTTACTTTCAAGATTTTGCATGTTGAGTTCAATGGTGGAGCATTTACTTCCGATGTTGAGTATCCCAGGCTCTGTCACTGGTGTCTCAGATTTTAAAAAACAATCAGGTTGATGTTTATGGTGAAGAAAGACCTTTCTATGGTGGAGACTGTGGAACTACTTATCCCTTCTGCAACTCCCAAGACCAGTAACTGAATGAGATGGTTCATTGATCTTGCTTACTATAAGGCTGGCTTACATGTTCACATGCTTGCAGCAGTCTTGAAAGATTGATTAGGCTGAGCCTTCACAGTTGGGTCAATGTATTGGGTTAACATTGGTGGCCCAGCACAGCTTCAGTCTATGTGATCTAAAAATCTCTATGCATTTTGCAAATACTGTAGGTAGAAGTGTACTGGGGCAACTAGGTAGCAATGTGAAGTGTGCTGATTTAGATTCGACTTGCAGCCAGAGAATCGACTTACAGACCAGAAAAAAAACAAAATGGAATAAAAATAGAATAAAAACCACTGGTTATGGGATTAATCGGTTTTCAGTGCATTGTAGGTCAATGGAGATTCGACTTACAGACTTTTCGACTTGCAGCCACCATTCCAATATGGATTAATTCCTTAAGTAGAGGGTCCACTGTATTGGGTTAACATTGGTGGCCCAGCACAGCTTCAGTCTATGTGATCTAAAAATCTCTATGCATTTTGCAAATAGGTAGAATTGTACTGTGGCAACTAGGTAGCAATGTGAAGTGTGCTGCAGCAAAAACAATGGCCTTGTGGTCATTTTAACAGAGAGTATCCTTACTGTGAAATAATCTCTAATAAACCCAAGCCCATTTCTTTAGATGCATGCAATTAGTAGGTATGTGTGCCCTGAATAGAGAGATATATTTGTGCTTTACAAGGTAATGCTAACAAAAAAAAAAATCCAGTCAATGCAAGTTAGAGCAATCAGTGAGTCATAGTGCAAAACAAAATACTGTACAAATAAATATAAACTCCAATCCAGTCAATGCAAGATCCAACCTACTTAGAAGCAACCGAGTCCCAGTTTGGGGCTGGAGGTGATTATATAAGCATTACAAGGTTGATGCTGTATATAAATGCCTCAAGGTATGTGTTGTTATAAGCTTGTAATTCTTAGGATTTGTCTAGACAGAATTCCACATTGTCAAAAGTGCTATAGAATTTTAACTACATAATTTTGCTTCCCCTCATGAGGACTTTTTCTTGATTTTGCTTTCTTTAATCTATTGTGAGGAAAGGACTGAGTATGCTGAGGCATCTTAGAGCTTTGCTGGCTTTAACAAGTGACTAGGCAAGACCCCATTTTGTGAGATGATTGGTGGTTATATCATATATACATGAATTCAGAGGTCAGAGCTTTGCTCTCTTTTTTAACATGTTTGCATTACTTAGTACTGCAGGTAGTCAGTTGTATGAGGCATTATTGATGCTTAGCAGGCCAGGAAAATTCAACAAAATAATCCTTGCTTTCCTCCAGTATCCATTTTGATATTACAATTTGCAAATATTTACCACAATACAAAAGACGAAGAATGCTTCTGTTTACCACTTAGGATTGATAAGAGAATGGAATAAAAGCAGTAAAGAGCACTTCAAAATGCTCTAGTAGAAACAGCTTTGGAAAGAATCTAGAAAATATTACTCATTATACTTAAATGTAACTTTGTCACTGCTTGTTACATTAGTTTTACTTCATTTTGTGATAGCTTGTTACTCCTGAGTAACTAGGTGCATGTAACTGCTATTTGTAACTTTCCTTGGGCAAGATATAATGATGGGTAAACACATATTAACTGTAGCAGTGGTTCCCAACATTGGGTGCTCAAAAGTTCTTGGCCATATCTCAGAAGTTTTCACCACTAACTGTGCTGACCAAGATTTTGCTGCAAGTTGTAGTCCAAGAACATTCAGAGACCCAAGGTTAGGAACCACTGAACTATAGGTTTGAAGATTTCAGGCATGCAATGTGAACATGTGAACCTGCCTTATACTTCTGAAATCACTTGTCTTTCTACCCTTGTATTGTCTTGAAGAGTAGTAGTTTACTAGTGTCCTTGCAAATTATTTATCTTACTTTTTAATGTTTAACTGGACTTAGCTGAAGCTAAATGTAGTGAGTGTTTGCAGCTTGGCTAGCAATTAAGATGTAAGGAAACTTAGGGTGATCTTTGGCAGAGCCTGTCTCCCAATTAACCCACCTCACAAGGTTTATCTGAAGATAAAAATGATGCATGTCAGAGAGAAACTATATTCTCTGAAGGAATCCCTTAAAAGAAGAAGAGAATTCTAAAACTCATATAAGGCCAGGACATGGACTTACCTGGTCCCACGTTGAGGCCAAAGCAGCATCCACATGGCAGGATCTTATGCAGCAGGACTGCACCTTATATGGGTGGCCCCAACTGCATAGGTCTTTCTTGCTTGAGTGGGGCTTTCTCTCTCAACAGGATGCTGAACTGGGGAAGGGGAAGACCCACACGTTTCCTCTGGTGGTATCTATAATATGGAACAATCGCTTCAGCCACATAGACTCAACCATGAGTCACTCTCTCTTTCTCTCTACACGTTTACTCTTCCTGCATATATTAGCCTGGTAGGCAGTATTTTGCTTCCCAGAAGTAAAACTGAC